TAGGCGGCTCTGCCTCAACTAAAGCTATTAATTACAAGCTCAATTTTGAACGAAAGAGTGCATTTGCCTAGATTAAGGTTTTGAAAACTCCTGGAGTGTGGTATTTGTATAGAACGTTTGGTCGGTGACAATAGCTTAGTTTCCTCTGAACAAAGAGTTACAACAGCCGCGCTGTACTTGGTAGCACTCGTAGCCAATCTTAGACCTGAGTCGTTATGACTGACCCTCTGTGAGAATAGAGCACTTCTCCTATTTGCCCCAAGGCATGCAGGACTAATCTAAAAAGCTGATGTCCCTGCTTCACCCATAGCTTGCTTCGCAAGAACCTGAAGCGATAAGAGCGCGCCTAGGATTTATCGCACTGAGTCGAACACTGGATTGATACGTCCGGCCAAACGACTAATCCGTGCAGTGATGCACGGTCAGAGCGCAGTCAGCAATTATTTGATGGGAGAGCCTACGCCGCCGCTTCCCATACCTCAAGTGGTCTTCAGGACACCCAAGGCGCACATTTGATTCTTAAGCGGTTTATCTATCAAATCCAATCAATGAAGGGCTTGGCCACGGTAGGAGTCCTGAAATCTTAGCTGGCGCTTACTATGTTGATCCTAGTGCCTTTTATATCCGACAAACTTTCAATATCATAACTGAGGTATCTTATGGTGAAACGTTATCAAATAGGCACTATCGCTCGTCCGACTTGAGCAATGCAGCCGAACAGATGCCCCGACATCTCAAAACTGAAACCTCGAGACGGCCTCCCGACGCCACCGAGCCATACTTGATCTTAAGCGATGCTTTTGACTAATGACGCAAGAAGCTATATTACCCCGGCAAACGAAATGTGGGTTTAGCAAGTAAGAAAACTGCGGAGAAGAGGGGATGCTGTCATGTATATATTGGCTTTTGCCGTCATTCTTACCATCTTCGTGAAAAAGTCAAATGCTGTCTCAACCGTTGTCGACACTGATAAGCCTCAGTTTGGGACCGAGAACATTGAGGCCTCAGCAACCGTGCGAGCTGTCGAAGATGAAGGGGCTCTCAGTCATTCTTTGCGCGCTGAAGTTCCTAGCACTTTACCCACACCGTCCATCAACCCAAATGCGCCTGACGTCGCTGATAACCCATTAAATCCGTCAAATGACGGAGTTCCTGACAGTCATCTAACAGGCGGCGTTAAAGCAACTCTTGATCATGATTCAACCCATGCTTTTGTCAAAGACATACATGAGACTCCGGTTGCAGCCGAAAATACGCATCCGTCAGCTGAAATAGATGCAGAGGCCTTTAAGGCGAAATTTGCTTTATTAGTTGACAAGCTTGACGAGTCTGAAGCCAACAAAGAGAAGTTGATTCCATCTTTTAATAAAAGATGGAGTGCTCAATTGCTCGCAAAGCCAGAAACAAAAGGTGAGATCGCGACAATGTTTCTTCATACTTTGCTCAAATTGCATTACGATGAAGATGCCGTCCGTGAACTATTAAATGACGATGCCAACTTGAATCGGTGGTTCTCACATGTACTTAAACATTGAGATACTTCTGGAGTCAAGTGACGCGACATAGCATTGTATTGTTTATTTACATTCCAGCTAGTTTACGAGGAAGTTTAAAGTTATGTGTGTCCTGAAATACCTTCAAATTTAAACTTTTACTCACATGTTTTAATGTCAATGCATCCTGTATTTTACTTATTAGAATAACAGCTGTCTTAACCCAAATATGTACATATACTAAAATACCTTGAAATCACCCCCTTGCACACATTATGTGGTCGGTCCTATATTAACTCTAAGGCATCATATTTACATATGTTAAAAACGCAAATACGGGAAATTAGCTTCCACTTAATATTGCAGAAAAATGAAGGTGCAATTCATTTGCGATGTATTCCTGCATATGCCTACTAATCCCAAGCATCGTGAATAAATGAGCTCATTCACTACATCACGGTGGTACCGGTTACATCTGCACCGATGTAGACAATAAAACAATGAGTCTTATAAATAATGTACGCGACACTAAAAATGTGTAACGGTGACATGTAGCCAGAGTTCAACGGAGCTACACGTATCCTTGTATGAAAGAGCGGGTAACATAAGACAGTGTGTGGCGAATTTTAGCCATAACCTAGAATCTACGACCATTAAGATGATGAGAAGTCCGATTCTTGGGGAAGATCAGCCATCCTTGTTTTTCTTGACCAGCGAGACAAATTTTTGATCGTACACGATAAGCCTAGTTAGGCTATGCAAAACCTCATGGTATCTGTAACTTAAGCTTCTCATATCGGGATTTCTAATCCAGACTTGTATTACATGTAGTGTTCATTTTCGCTTTCGGTGATTTAGCTTGGGGGTCGCCTGCATGACAAGCTGATGCTTCCGACAGCGTGGTAGAGTTTATGGCTATCTCAACTTTTCGTCTCCCCAAAGATATTTATCGTTATCTCCTCGCAAATAGTTGAGCGCAAAGCATAAGCCACCCCCCTGCTGAAGTTGGATATGGTCCTTCTGACGCATGCTTTTGG